AGAGCTCAAGGTACACAGTCTATTGAACATGAAGAACCGAAAAAGCTATCGGATGTCAAGAGCACAAGACCGATTTCTTCTAGGAGACGATCCAGCGGCAGACAGACCTCGGCAGCAATGGTCTCGAGGAATGAACGACACTCGAGTGCCACAGCTGAGAACTCGGGCGGAGAGCTCGTTTCGCAACGCTCTGCCGTGCTGAAGCGGGAGGAATTGAATGCTCAAATTGATGGTATCAGGGTAATCCTTATTGGAGACCTTCACGATCTTCCACTGCTCGACTGGAGTGTCAAGAAGTTCAACGTTGATATTCGGGACTGGTCGTCAACACTTCATGCCGATACCAATTTCGAGACATTTGTCAATGTGTATAACTTCTCCAAGTCAGCTTGGGAACCCCTTATTGAGCCCTGGCAGCTAGGGTTCCACGTTGCGAAGGAAACTGCCCCTGAGATCCTGTCTATAGATGCCTACTCTCATAAGACGATGGAGCTTACAGTTACTTCGGCAACTATTGCACTGGCATCAAAGTCTTTCCAGTTCCTATCAACGGATGAAGATGTTCTCTCCAAGCCAAGAGGTGCTGATGCGCCCTACCGAATTCGCAATTACACTGGCTTCGATTTGCATGTTTGGGCCGATGTCAGCCCTGACGAAGAGGGGCCGGCTGCTAAATTGGCTGATGGCGAAGAATACCCTTGGAGATTTGAGGATTCTACTGCTATGCGTGAGACGCTTGCGCCAGAAGGCCATGCTGGACTGGTTGGAGTCAAGCTCGAAGGAAGTGGTTTCGACAGCGTTAGCCGCATTCCCGTTGTTCGTGAGGGTGAGATACTGTATGGTCTGAAGCCTAAGAAGGACGGCATTCTTCACCAACTGCTTGTGGAAGTCAAGCTGGGTCCCGACAATGTCAAGTATATCACCTTCCGCTCGCCACTGGTTGTTGAGAACAGCACACAAATACCTGTAGAGTTGGGCGTGTTCAACCCTAACGATGGCCATCTTCTGAAAATCGAGAAGATCCTTCCTGGTGATTCGCGACCTGCGCCCGTTGGGGCAGCGTATATGCACTCCCTTGTTATTCGCCCTGATCAGGGCTTCGGCTATGACTGGTCCCGTGAACAATTGCATTGGAGAGAGCTCTTGCGTCGGCCAACGCGGACAATAAAGTGTCTTAGTGAAGGCGGACAACAAGCTCCTCCATTCTATTTCCAACTGCATGCTTCGTTCAACGCCCGAGATAAATTGACAGGCGTCTATCCTTACATGCGTCTCCGGATCTTTGCTCCAGTTGAAATTCAGAACCTTCTGCCTTACGACTTCAAATACCGCATCTATGACAAGAACACCAAGAAGGATTGGACGAACTTCCTGCGCAAAGGTGGTGTGAGCCCTGTCCATGTCGTTGAGCTATCTCATCTGCTACTCCTCAGCGTCGACTTAGAGGACACTGTCTTCAGGCAGAGCGACTTTGCAATCATCAATGGCAACTCTCAGGACTACAGAAGAGAGCACGTGCTTTCATTGAAAGACGATCGAGGCATTCAACTTCGACTGAAGCTCCATTACTTCAATGTGCCTGACAGCGGTGGAGCTTTCAAGATTTCTGTCTATAGTCCGTATCTCATCTTGAACAAGACCGGACTTCCTATGGAAATTCAAAGCAAGGCCTTTTTACAGTCAGCGCGGTCAGCGGCTGGACAGGGCCTGATGGCTGATTCGAGGCATGGTGGGCGGTCGCTTCCTTACATGTACTCCTACCACACGGATGACCAGAAGAATCGTTCCATGTTGAGAATTGGTGAATCTGCTTGGAGCAAGCCTCAGAGTTTTGAAGCTATTGGGAGCACATTCGAGGTCGTTCTTCCTGACAGGCATGGTAGATCCGAAATCCATTCGGGTGTGTCTGTCGCCGAAGGCGACGGAAAATACAAATTGACGAAGGTCGTGACCATTGCACCACGCTTCATTCTGAAGAACAAGCTAAACGAGGACATCCTGGTCCGGGAACCTGGCTCGTCGAATGTCCTACAAATCAAGAGTGGTGAACTGACACCTCTACACTTCTTACGCCAAGTTGTGGACAAGCAGCTGTGCCTCTGCTTCCCGGGGGTAAACAATCAATGGTCATCGCCCTTCAACATTGCCGATATTGGAACCGTACATGTCAAGCTTGCCAAAGCTAATCAACGCCAGAGACTTATCAAGGTTGATATTATCATGGAGGGTGCAACTCTTTTCATCCATTTCAGTTTTGAGCCTCGCAACTGGCCTTTCTCGATGCGAAACGAGAGTGACATGGAATTCATTTTCTTCCAGGCTGTGAGTATACTTTGTCCGCCTCAAAACATGCATTGCTAACGCGACCGTAGAACCCGAACCTTGAAGACGACGAGGAAGACAGGTCCAATGGCTGGCGACCTATTCGCTACCGCCTTCCTCCTCGCAGCATCATGCCCTATGCCTGGGATTATCCAGCCACCAAGAACAAGTCCCTTGTCTTAACATGCAAAGGCAAGGAAAGGCACATCAAGCTTGCTGAGATTGGAAACTTGATACCGATGAGAATTCCCCCAACCCAGTATGGAGAGACTCAGAAGATCATTGATATCAACATTGTTGCAAATGGTCCAACCCAGACTTTGGTCTTGTCGAACTTCAAGGCATCGAAGAGTATTTACAAGCAAAAGGGGCAAGCATCACAGAGCAGCTTGAGCACTGGCTTCGAAGTGAAAGAGCTTGATTCGGATGTCAACTTCAAAGCCCAGCTCCGGCTTGGCGGCATTGGCATCTCCTTGATCAATCAAAACTTAAAGGAGCTGCTTTATCTGACATTCCGCGATATCGAAATCAAGTTCAGAGAATCAAGAGTTTACCAGACTCTGAACACCACAATCAAGTGGATTCAAATCGACAATCAGCTGTATGGAGGCATCTTTCCCATTTTGCTGTATCCCAGTGTGGTTCCAAAGACTGGAAAGGAGATGGAAGCACATCCAATCTTCCATGCTATGGCTACCCGCGTTAAGGACGACTCTTATGGTGTTCTCTATATCAAATATGCCACAGTTCTTCTGCAGCAGATGACATTGGAGCTTGATGAAGATTTCATTGCCGCAATGCTCGACTTTGTTAAGGTGCCTGGTGCTTCGTGGTCTGAGCCGCACGAAGGGAAACTCTGCGATGAGGACTTGAACATTCCAGAGCCGCAGAATGAAGGTGCCGCTCAGGACGTGTACTTTGAACTTCTTCATCTCCAACCTATGCAGATAGACATCTCTTTCATGCGTACTGAACGTGTGAATGCGGAAGATGCTCTGCAACCGTCCAACCCGCTGATGTTCTTCGTTCACGTCATGACAATGTCAATGGGCAATGTCAACGATGCTCCTGTCCGTCTGAATGCATTGATGCTGGAGAATGCGCGCGTCTCCTTTGGAGTGCTTGTCGGCAACGTCCAGAGACACTACACGCAAGAATTCCTTCGCCAAGTACATGTGGTCCTCGGCTCTGCAGATTTCTTGGGCAACCCTGTTGGACTGTTTAATACCGTCAGCTCTGGTGTGGCAGATATCTTCTACGAACCATACCAGGGTCTGGTCATGACTGATAGACCCCAGGAGTTGGGTTATGGTATCGCAAAGGGCGCCACCAGCTTTGTGAAGAAATCCGTCTTTGGATTTTCTGACAGTATGGCCAAGCTTACTGGAAGTATGTCCAAGGGTTTGGCTGCTGCTACATTGGATAAAGAATTCCAAGACCAGCGGCGGATGTCCAAGTCTCGGAACCGGCCCAAGCACGCCTTATATGGCATCACAGCAGGCGGTAATGCATTCGCAACTAGTCTAGCAAGTGGAATTGGAGGACTTGCCCGTCATCCACTCCAGGGTGCTGAAAAGGAAGGTATTCAAGGATTCTTCAAGGGTGTTGGAAAGGGCGTTTTAGGTTTGGCGACGAAGCCTGCGATAGGAGCCTTTGACCTTGCCTCAAGTAAGTCTATAATTACACTCTCGAAGCAAACCAGGAACTGACCCAAATTAGATCTGGCTGAGGGCGTGCGAAACACGACAACAGTGTTTGATGCCGAGGGACTCGACCGTGTTCGTCTCACTCGCTTTATCGGCACCGATGGTATCGTGCGGCCCTACTCTCAGCGCGAAGCGTTAGGACAATTCTGGCTCAAGACGGCCGACGATGGAAAGTACTTCAACGAGGATTATATCGCACACCTGGAACTTCCGGGACGGGACATGCTGGTCATGTTGACTTACGATCGGATTATCCTCGTGCGCACCAAGAAGCTGCGGACCGAGTGGGACATGCGGTTGACCGACATCCAAACTATTTCCAAGGAGCGTACGGGTATGAGCATCACTCTCAAGGGTGGTGCGAATGGCCCCTTCATCCCGGTTCAAGATGAGAGCTCCAGAAATTGGCTGTACCGGCAGATAGCAATTGGTGAGTGCACATACGGCCCAGCAACTGCTATGTGATTATGCTAACTTCATTTAGCCGTCAACGCCTTCAACGAGAAATACAATTCTCGCGGCTAAACACAACACATTCCCTGTTTCTCTTAACGATGTTATGTCGGCTGATGGTTGGGTAAAATTTCCTACAAGGGTTGATTCGAAGTCCGATATGACATGAAATGGATGGTGAAAGGCAGAGGTTGTAATGATAACGCATTGCTATTATTCATCTTTTTGGTCTCTTTCCATTTTCCAGCAAATTAAGCGAGAACCGTTCAATTCGCGCAGCTTATCTTTTTCATTTTTAATGATGTCTGTTAATGTACATACATGCATTACCTGATCCGCTACGCTGTGGTCAGTCCCTAACGTTAATTTTCTAATGGATTTATTTCAGCTGCAAGCTACAGCACGGATGACCTCAATGAGTAAACCACATTAAACGCTTGACTCATACAAGACAAAAGTCATAGTCAATCACCATTCATTCATTCATTCATTCATACCACGACCACCACACCCATCCAATCAATCAAAATGCTCCCCCAACTCAACGTCCTGACACGGCAAAACCGGCCAACTCCTTCCCCCGGCATCATCCAACAAGGTAACCGTGACCTTTCCCCGACTATCATTCAACTCCTCCACATTCCCGTACCAAGATGGATTCAATTGGTAAATCTGCTTCACCAGTTCCCTGATATTGTATCCATTCGGGGAATCGAACGTCCACCATGCCAGATGGATCGGTTTCACGTCGGTGATCTTCGCCCCGCTGGTCTTGGAGTATTTTATCAGCCCCTTGAAGAAGGTTATCATGTCGTCGCGGGTCGCTGCTGCCACGAGCCAGCGGTGCCAGTCTCCTGCTGAGTTGGATTTGTTGGTTTGGATGAGGTGGGTGTAGTAGGGGGTGTGGTAGTGGTTGTGGTGTTTCATGATGTGTGTGTGTGTGTGTGTGTGTGTGTGTGTGTGTGCGTAGCAAATTAGAGAGTGTGAGATGATTACTCAAAGAGAGGTTATATAGTAGTAGTAGTAGCTTCCGATCACGTATGGGGTTGGGTTTAGGGGTAGAAAGGAGTTGGTTGCTTGAATAAAGTAGTAGTGTATAGTACTACTAACTTGGAAGGGATACAGATGTCAGCAGGGGAGAGTGTCATACTTATACGTGAGTTACTACATATATCGTTTCTAGGGTATATATGTACCTTGGGGAAGAACCATGGATTATTCTTTCCTATGAACGAATGTGGGCTTCAATGTCTTTGGCTTGTGATAGATTGTCACTGAATGATGATGTATTTATGATAGATTTGTGTTAAGTTCCGAGGGATGATTGTCCGGAGAGTCGACCTGGGCCCCGAATCCGGTTGGCGTTCGAGATATTGAATGTGGGATAATTGGCTACATTATAGTTTGTTCACAAGTAGTATTGTTGCTACCATGGCCTTTCTGGTTTATATTTGTTTGTAGGTAGTAAGCCTGCATTAGTGGCAGCATGAAACTGGTAGTAATAAATAATCGGACATGACAGCTGGAGTAGCAATAATGCGTCTTGTTGTTCTGAGTATTATTACTGCTGATATTCTTCTTCTCTTAGTCTAGCGCGTACAGGAAGGTCTGGATGGACTCGTCCTCGACACACTCAGAGGGTGGTGCCGTCAACTACTAGTATGTCGAGAAAATCCATGCAAGTGAAGTTCGTATTGAATTCGATGCACGCTATATGTACGTATGTAAATAATACAATAGTGCCAAATTCACCTGTATGCCTGCCACCCAGTCTTTGAACCAAAGCATTGAGATTAAACAAGGAAAGAGATGAGAAACGGTAAAGTAGACGCAAACGGACAGTCACGGTGAATACAAGGACCGAGAAGGAAATCAAAAAGGGAAAAGAGAAACGAGAAGAGACCAGAACGTTTGTTGAGGTGATGGTCATGATCTCAAGACCACCGTATCAATGAGGTAGAAAAAGAGATAGGTTGAAGATGGTATTGGGTTGTTTCTCGATACGTATGACACATGAGGACGAGGAAGGATAAGAGCAGAGAGCGCGGTGCATATCAAAACATTCCTATGATATTGTAGCTGTAACAGGCGATGATCGTAAAAAAAGGGAGAATCAGAGGTAAAAGATCGCTTATTCCTGGACGGAGTTTCCGCTGGTCACTGTAGGTGGTAGCCGGGCCGTCTGTAGGGCTTCGGGCAATTTCAGCGGCGCCGCAGGAGCTGATTGCAGCTTGTCGAGCTTTTCGCCTCGCAGAACCTTCTCCATCTCCTCCTTTGTCAGTGTCTCGTATTCAATCAAAGCCTTGGTCAAGAGCTCCAGCTCCTCCCGCTTCTCAGTCAGAATGTTGCTAGCGCGGGCACGACCCTCCTCGACTAAACGACGGACTTCGGATTCAATCTCCTGCTTCGTTTCCGATGAGAGGCTGTCATAGTTGCTCGACAGGTCAACGTTTCCGAGCTTCTTGGAGTAGCCGAAACGGGTGACCAAGGTAAAGGCGGTTTCAGTGGCTTGTTGAATGTCCTATTACATGTCAGTGACTACGTACTTTGAGCTAAAGTGGTTAAACGTACCGCCGAGATTCCACTGGTCACCTTGTCGGGGCCGAAAACGAGCTCCTCGGCAGCCTTACCGCCCATGGAGACGTCGATATCCGAAAGGTATTCAGTGTAGTTTCTCGAGACCATATCCATCTCAGGCAGGAAGTGAGTCACACCCAAGGCCATGCCTCGAGGAACAATGGTGATCTTGTACAAAGGCGTAGAGGAAGGAGAGAAGTAAGCAACGAGAGCGTGACCGGCCTCGTGGTAGGCAGTAAGGATTTTGTCCTTGTCCTGAATGATACGGCTGCGAGCCTCAGCACCCATCATGATCTTGTCCTTAGCCCAGTCGAAGTCCTTCGGGCCAACCTTGGTTTGCTTGTTACGGCTGGCATAGATGGCAGCTTGGTTAACAAGGTTCTCCAAATCGGCACCAGAGAAACCGGGGGTACCACGAGCAATGACACCGACATCAACATCCATGCTGACCTGAACCTCCTTCATGTGGTGTCGGAGAATATCCATACGACCACGAACGTCGGGAAGACCAACAGTCACCTTGCGATCAAAGCGACCAGGACGCGTGAGAGCCTTATCCAGAAGTTGGGGGTAGTTGGTTGCGGCGATGATGATCACTCCGCTGCTTTGGGAGAAGCCATCGAGTTCAGTAAGCAGTTGATTCAGGGTTTGCTTCACGTAGGCGGCATCCCTCTCGTTCCTCTTGGCACCAATGGCATCCAACTCATCAATGAAGATGATAGCGGGGGACTTGCTGCGGGCTTGAGTGAACAATTCACGAACGCGCTTGGCGCCGACACCCACGTAGACCTCATCGAATTCAGAGCCAGACATGTAGAAGAAAGGAACACCAGCCTCTCCTGCAACAGCACGAGCCAGCAAAGTCTTTCCGGTACCAGGAGGACCAACCAGGAGAACACCCTTGGGCAGCTTGCCACCAAGCGAGGAGAAGCGATCGGGGTTAGTGAGAAATTCGACGAGTTCTTGAAGTTCTTCCTTGGCTTCATCGCAACCATGCACATCACTGAAACGGACAGTCTGCTGCTGAGGCTGAGCCTCGCTGTTCTGCGGGCCCCTGATGTTCTTCAGGGCACCAGTCGTTTCAACCAAGATTGTGATCATAACCAGAGACAGATAAGCGAAGAAGGCGAAGTAGAACAGGAACTTGACCCATCTGAAGACCGCACTTCCGGTTGACTCCTCCACAACCACGTGCAGAGGATCTTCCTTGTTTCCAGTGCCAGTCTGCTTGACTGCTGAACCGTAGTGGGTAGAAGAACCGAATTGTCCACCGTGAAACTGGGTTGCGACGGCCTGGCCGATGGCTTGCAGCCGCTCGGGGCTGACGGCCTGGCCGGAAGCAGGGACCGCTACCGCAGAGTCCACGCCGCCAACGCGTTGCAGGGCTTTCATGTAGAGTTCGTCCGTAGCCGCATTCGTGGCAAAATGACCGCTTTTGTACCGTTCAACGACAATGGCAGGGTGGTTTGCACGGAGGAGGGCCTGGTAGAAAGCATTCTGAGCGTTTGCGCTGCTAGGGTTGTTGTTGGCAGTCTTCTCCTTCTGCGCCAGCAGATTGTGAGAAGAACCACCAAACAGAAAACGCTGTTGCTGTAACCGGGAGAGACCTTGTACTTGGGGGGCGTGGCGAAGACGGTTGACGGACATGGATATCGTGGAGTAGGAACGAGCAGAGGGGGAGGCAAGATGACGGGTAGCAAGAGACGGCGAGGTCCACATTGTGGTTCCTGGAATGAAGTCAAGTTAGAGCAAGTCTTCCAGGTATAAGAAGAGAAATGTATACCATTGAGCAGGGAGCGAGACCATCCGCTTTGAGTGGTCTTGTTCAAGATGCTTGCCTTCAACGCCTCGGAAGACACAGTAGCCAGGAACTCAGGTAGCTGCACACCACTTGATCCCTATACGTATATCAGCGCACTAGCTCCATCATTTTACGGCCGACTAAGGAGACATACCGTGGAGGTTGCTTCCGCAACCGCGCGTTGGGAGGGCTGAGGGGCGGCATATCCGGAGCGGGAGGCGTGTTCGACGTTATTCCGGGGCGCATTAAACAACCGTGTCATTGACGGCCAGAGATCTGAGGTCACGGCCGCAAGACCCTGCCGGAGAGTCATTAGTTAGCGAAGGCAAGTTCAAGCGTGGACAGATAGCAAGGCTTACCGGCTTGGGGAAGGGGACTTGGAAGGCCATGGTTGTCCGAACTAAAGCGGCACTTGGCCGCGACGTTGATGATAGTAACCCTTCGGCGCGATAGGGAGAGGGTGGGGCACAGTAAAGATGACGATGAGATCAATCCTTAATCAAGATACATGCCATCCCCGACCACAACCAGACGACAGATTTGAGATGAAGAGAGGAAAGAAGAGAGGCCAAACCAATGACGATGCTTGGCTGGTCGTTGCTCGGCGGCGAAATTCGACTGCCGACCCGGTGCTCTGCCGGCTGCTGTCGCCCCCCGTAGCCAGAATGACTGCCTCTATGCCTCAGGCATGCAACATCGAATTCCACGCCATTCCCCAAACTTCCCCGCCCGCATGGATGCGTTCTAGAAGGCTGCACCACCACAGCTTCCCGGAATTTTCCCGCTGTTGACACGGCCATATATCTGGTATATCTGCGTCATGACTTCTCCAACCGTACTCATGCCATGACGATCATGGCCGCGCACGATCCTCAATCCACTTTCTGGACCGTATACGCAGTACCATACAACATGAGTCGTTGCCTGTTTACAACCCGTGGTTCAGATCGGATACGATGGCTAGAACATCATCAGAGTCAAGCTCAAAGGTGCATCCTCTTTGTCACAAACTATCTATATAACGGGACACGCCCATCAGACGCGTTCACAACGCAGCTGCGGATTAGATACTTTAATGCTCCTTCCTCTCTTGGCACCTTTGAATCAATCTCTATCTTTGACCTTACCGATCTGGACGGATCTCCGCAACGTGTTTGGCATTGATAAGTTGGAGAGAACAGTGACCGGCATCCTAACTAATATGCCCGTGGCATGAAGCCCGCTATACGACACATATGATGTCGAAACGGACCATCTTCCTCATGGGTGCGCCCACGTTGCGGAATCTCCAGTGGAATGAAGAGGAGCTGCTGAACGCACCGATATCTCCATTCCATAGTTTGGATACGCAAGACGTAGGCCATTGGCCTTTCCCCGATGGTCAGCCTGTGAAATGGAGACTATTGCAGGATCTGCGCAATCCAGGGCTTCTCCCAGAAATTTACAGGTGGGAACCCGGTCGAGATGCTCGCTTCCTTACTATACGGGACATTGCAGGCTCTGATGGGACATCGCGGACAAAGCCGGATGATTCAGTACTCTCGCAATTCTACAACCATTCATTTACCGTTCACGAAACCTCGGAGATCTCGACTCCGGGGTTTCACTCTGGCGACTCCATGCGCAGTAGTGGTTTATCGGTCGGAACCTCCTATGCGACAAGCAGCGAGAAGGACGGGCCAACGCCAGGGTTCCCAATCCAAGGGCCCCTCACTGATCTCCGGGATATCCCCACTGCGGCGTATCTGAATTCGATCGTGCCGCAGACGATGACGGTGAATCT